CCACCGAAGTCTACTAAACCAGAAGCAAACTTTATTTAAGAAACCAGATTTCAGGGGGCTGGAGAGATGGCTCAGAGGTTAAGAGCATTGTCTGCTCTTCCAAAGGTCCTGAGTTCAATTCCCAGCAACCACATGGTGGCTCACAACCATCTGTAAAGAGGTCTGGCACCCTCTTCTGTCCTGCAGGCATACACAGACAGAATATTGTATACATAATAAATAAATAAATGTTAAAAAAAAAGAAAAAAAGAAACCAGATTTCAGGAAAACCAGAAGAAAACTTAAAAAGAAAAAAATAAAAACACCTTGGGGCACAGAAGCTTATCAGCTCGCTGAGACCACAGCCAGAGATGGTGTTTGTTAGGCTGTGGCAAAAGGCTGGTTTCTGCCCGGCGGTGGTAGCACACGCCTTTAATCCCAGCACTCAGGAGGCAGAGGCTGGCGGATCTCTGGGAGTTCGAGGCCAGCCTGGTCTACAGAGCTAGTTCCAGGACCAGCACCAAAAGCTACAGAAGAGAAACCCTGTCTCGAAAAACCAAAAAAAAAAAAAAAAAAAGGCTGGTTTCTGAATCCACCTTTTTATAGTACAGGCACCAAGCTTTAGGTCTGAACAAAGGAATTTTTACAATCTTGTCCCAACCAGCAGGTCAGTCAAGGGAAACCCTAAGGGAGTTGAAAGGGACAAGAGATGCAAGGGATGGAGACAAGTCAAGATTCTGATCAAGTCTCATTTATTAGGGGAGTAAACAGGGTAGACATAGGGTAATGGGAAAGAGGGAGTGGGTTCTAACGTCAATGGGTAACTAGGAAGCTATCATGAAACATGGTCCAGAGGAGATTACAGCGAAAGTCACTAATTGCAAGGAAACGGATGTTTTTAGCAATTAGTCAGAAAAAGGGACTGCTAGTAATATCAGAAGGTTAATAAATAAGAATAATTGGTTCTAAGGCTCAGAACTTAGAAGATAGCAAAAAGCTTTTCACACAATCTCAAGGTAGAACTCAGACATAGATTGCCTTACTTTACAATCTTCATTTTCCAGTTAAACTAATGTTTGTGTTTAAACTATTGCCTTCCTTGGTATTCCAGGTGGTGTTTACTGAAGCCCTGTGCCTTCCCTTTGATGCTGCCAGTTTCATATAGCAGGGATAATGGTAACCCAGAGGCCGTATATCTATTTCCTAAAAGTTGACTCAGCTCATATCCATAGGCTAGCTCTCAGTTTGCAGAGAGATGCTTTGGCCTTGTGAATAGAGCTATGGGTTGTAAAGTGAAGTAACCCACTGTTAATAGTTAATCCTTAAGCTACTGAGGAAGCCATCTGAGAAAAACAGTCTGTTCTCATTCACCTAGGCTTAAAACTTTCTATTTTCTTATTTTTATATTCTTATTCCTGGACCCTTTCAATGGTGTCTCTTCATGGCAATAATTAAGACAAGTTCCATTTGTTTTGCTTTTTTGCTTTGTTTTTTTAATACATTTTTTATTCATATTTATTGAGTTCTACATTTTTCTCTGCTCCCCTCCCTGACTCTTTCCTCCTCTCTTCAATCCTCCCCCAAGGTTCCCATGCTCCCAATTTACTCAGGAGATCTTGTCTTTTTCTACTTTCTACTTCCCATATAGATTAGATCTATGTAAGTCTCTCTTAGTGTCCTCATTGTTGTCTAAGTTCTCTGGGATTGTGGTTTGTAGGCTGGCTTTCTTTGCTTTATTTTAAAAAACCACCTATGAGTGAGTACATGTGATAATTGTCTTTCTGTGTCTGGGTTACCTCACTCAAAATAGTATTTTCTAGTTCCATCCATTTTCCTGCAAAATTCAAGCTGTTGTTATTTTTTCCTGCTGTGTAGTACTCCATTGTGTAAATGTACCACATTTTCCTTATCCATTCTTCGGTAGAGGGGCATTTAGGTTGCTTCCAGGTTCTGGCTACGACAAACAATGCTGCTATGAACATAGTTGAGCACATGTCCTTGTAGCACGATTGAGCATCCTTTGGATATATACCCAAAAGTGGTATTACTGAATCTTGAGGAAGGTTGTTTCCTAATTTTCTGAGAATTTGCCACACTGACATCCAAAGGGGTTGTACCAGCTTGCATTCTCATCAGCAATGCAGAAGTGTTCCCTTTTCGCCACAACCTCTCCAGCATAAGTTGTCATCAGTGTTTTTGATTTTGGCCATTCTTACAGGTGTAAGATGGAATCTCAGAGTTGTTTTGATTTGCATTTCTCTGATGACTAAGGGTGTTGCAAAGTTCCATTTGAAAGTTAAAAAATGGACTCCAGGAACACCTTGTGTATTGGTAGACATGGGGAATAAACTTCTGACTCATAGTATTTCCTTTTCACTATTTTTTGTTTGTTTGTTTTGTTTTTTGAGACAGGGTTTTTCTGTGTAGCCCCAGCAGTCCTGGAACTAGCTCTTGTAGACCAGGCTGGCTTCGAACTCACAGAGATCCACCTGCCTCTGCCTCCTGAGTGCTGGGATTAAAGGCGTGCGCCACCACCGCCTGGCCCTTTTCACTGTTGTTGAAGAGATTTATTTTATTTTTATTTTATGTGATGAGGGATTCCCCTCTGTATGCTGTGAATACCATTGGTGAATAAAGAAAATGCCTTGGCCTATTGATAGGGCAGAATAGAACTAGGCGGGGAAAACTAAGCTGAATGCTGGGAGAAAGGAGGTAGAGTCAGAGAGAAGCCATGTAGCCCTGCCAGAGACAGATGCCAGAACTTTACCTAGTAAGCCACTGCCATGTAGTGATACATAGATTAATAGAGATGGATTACATTAATATGTAAGAGTTAGCCAATAAGAAACTAGAGCTAATAGGCCAATCTGTTTATAATTAATGTAGGTCTCGGTGTTTTTATTTGGAACTAAACAGATGTGGGACCTGGTGGGACAGGAAACTCTGTCAACAAATGGTCCCCAACATGTGAACAACTGCATCCTCAGAAAACCTGAGAGAGCTTGGGAAGTAATTCTAAACAAAAAAATAACAGTGTTAAGCATGGCTCCTTGGTAGCAGCAATTTCTCGGGTTTGCTCTCTTTGCTAGAGGCAAGCACATCTCATTTAAGAGAGGCTTCCTGACTCAGCTTTAGCTGTGAAACCTTGCAACTCTTTTAAGAGTCCCTGTCACCAAACACTTAAATGGTGTTTACAAACATCCGACAGCATCCTTCTTGATGGTGGCAGGGACTGTCGAGGTTCGATGCTAGCCCAGACCCTAAATTATTTCTCTTGACCAGTCATCAACATAAACTATCTCTCCCTGGACTCACATGGCTTTATCAGGAAGGAAATATGTTCCTTTGGAGAAGAGGTTTTACTTTTGTTTCCACAGGAAATGAGAGACTATGGACTCATTCCAGGTTAAGAAAAATCAGGTTTGATCAAGGAAGACCCCCCCCTGAGAAATCTCTGATAGTAGCAGATGGCCCAGATGTATGAGTTCTACATCCAGAACAGTTTCGAGACTTCTGATTGAGATGATCAAGCCTCACAGGATACTCCAGTCAGGACTTGATCATAATTCTAAATTTTCTTTAGGTCCCCATAAGATTATCAGTGCTCCCAATCAGCAGGAAGTAGCCTAGAAAACTATGCTCACTTTTCTAAAGAATAGATTATGGATATTCATCTTTGTTTAGTGTGTTGGTTACAAGATATTATGGATAATGGTCTGGACAAAAAGCTAAACAAAGGATATTGGATTCAGAGTTCTTGTTTTAAAAAAATAAAAGGGGAAGTGCTGTGGAACAATGGTCTTTTATCCTGTCACTTGCATTATTTTTAATAAAACGCTGATTGGCCAGTAGCCAGGCAGGAAGGATAGGCAGGGTGATCAAACAGGAGGATGTAGAGGCGGGGCAATGAGAAGAGGAGAATTCTGGGAAGAGAAAAGATTCAGTCTGCAGTCATCACCCGGACACAGAGGAATCAAGATGAGAATGCCTCACTGAAAAAGGTACCAAGCCAAGTGGCTAACATAGACAAGAATAATGGGCTAAGTTAAGATGTAAGAATTAATTAATAAGAAGCCTGAGCTACTAGACCAACCAGTTTAAAATTAATGTAGACTTCTGTGTGTTTCTTTGGGGCTGAATGGCTGCGTGACCAGGTGGAACAGAAATCTCAGTTAACATAGATGAGTGCTTGTCTGAATGTTTCTATATGCACCACATGCATGTAGTGCCATCAGAGGCCAGAAGAGGGGGTCCGATCCCCTAGAATTAGAGATACAGGGGGCTATAAGTCACCACCTGGGTTCTGTAAATGGAACTTGGGACAGCTGAAGAGCAGCAATGGCTTTTAATCCCTGAGCCATCTGTTTGCCTTTATTTCCTTTTTTCTTTCTTTTTTAAAAGCAAATAACAAAGACTTGGTTTACCAGTTTTTTAAAACCAAAACTTAACAGTACCTATTTATTTATTTTGTTTTATTCACTCATTCATTCATTCATTCATTGTGGGAAGTGAAGGTATGAGACAGGGTTTCTCTGTGTAGCTCTGGCTGCCCTAGAACTTTCTTCTTCTTCTTCTTCTTTTTTTAATGAAATTCAACTTCTTTATTTTTTAAGATTTATTTATTTATTATGTATATGGTGTTCCTCCTGCCTGTACACCTGCATACCAGAAGAAGACACCAGATCTCATTATAAATGGTTGTGAGTCACCATGTGGTTGCTGGGACTTGAATTCAGGACCTCTGGAAGAACAGCCAGTGCTCTTAACCTCTGAGCCATCTCTCCAGCCCCTAGAACTTTCTTTGTAGACCAGGCTGACCTTGAACTCAGAGATTCTCCTGCCTCTGCATCCCCTGTGCTAGGATCAAAGGCATGAGTGACAACTGCCCAGCCCAACAGTACACATTTAAAGAATTATAGAACTGGCAAAATTGACAGCATTTATGCACAATTATAAAACATGAATTGAAGAAACAAAAAGAAATATAAGAAATATTTCTGCAGAAAGTTCATCTTGACGATAAAAACTTGGAATACTTCATGAATTTGGTGTTATCCTACATAGGGACCATGCTAATCTCGTGTACCCTTCCAGCTTTAGTGTATGTGCTGCTGAAGGGAGCACAGGGCAAAATCTCTTTATCTTGCATTCTGAGAAATGCAAACTATTAGTTCTGGAGGATTAAGAAGTATTCTTTAGTGTTACTTCCTCAGCGGACCGCTGGCAATTAACCTCGGACTTCGTGAGGAAGAAGGATAATACAAATTCTCCAAAACACCTAATCAAATACAACAATGATCACCTTTAATGAACTAAACCATATTGACTAATCTTATTTCATCCAAGCTGATATGGAATTAGTTTGCAATATCTGCGAAACTGACCAGAGGTCAGGCAGAAATGACTTTGGGTGTGTTACCTACCTACTCCAGTGTGGCCAAAACAAAACTTGACAGAAGAGCAGAGTCTGAGAAAGATTGTAACAATATTCTGCAGTAACCAATAGCCATGCATCCTGATAGGCTTTCTCACTCATCGGGTGTACCAAATTAAAAAAAAAATCATGTTTTATTTTATAATGAATAAATAGGTAGATAGGAGTCTGAAAAGGAGTATGAGATTTTTATGGCCAGGCAGGATGGAACACACCTTTAATTTCTGCATTCAGGAAGCAGAAGCAGGAGGGATCTCTGTGATTTGAAGTTAGCCTGGTGTAGAGTTCCTTGTCTCAAAAACAAAACAAAACACCAATAATAATTGTAAGTAAAAGAGCCAGGCAGTGGTAGCACATGCCTTTAATCCCAGCACTCAGGAAGCAGAGACAGAGTTTAAGGCCAGCCTGCTCTACAGAGTAAGTTCCAGGACAAGCAAGGTTACACAGAGAAACCCTGTCTCAAAAGAAAAAAGAAAAAAAAAAAAAAGGAAAGTAAAAGAAATAATGAAGTATTAGATATCTCTCATTTAAATGTTTATTAATATAAATACTATTTATATTATTTAGTTAACATACATATAGTACCTAGTTTCATGTCACTATTAGTGTATCATGGTATAGGTTCAGGGCTAAGGCTAGCAATTCGGGGAAATTATTACCCTTGAAGAAGTTTCAAAGGGCACTCATGATGGGTGTGCCTGTAATCCCAGCTCTGGGGAGGTAGAAGCAGGGAGATGAGGTGTGGCTCAGTCCACCCCATTTACATAATGAGTTAAAGAAGTTCAGACTTGAAATAATCAGTATGGTTTCCAGACCTGTGACCTGTATGGAATCTCTCAAACCCTGTGACAGTGACCCTCAGGATTTTAAGCCATCAGAGTCTCCTTCAGTGGGAAAGCTCGACATGCACAGCCCGTAACTCCCAATCTATTGCAAAATATTGTAGACGAATGCTCAAGTAACAGTAATCTACAGAATATGAAAAACCAAGAGTATGGACAGTCTTTGCTCCTCAAACGTGTTTATGGCACTGGATGTTCTACGGTAACCTGAACATCACATTTATTTAACGTAGGCATCTTTGATTTGATGTAATCTGGTCTGATTGAAATTGTTCGCTTCGGCAGAGAGGCTCTTAACAGTGAGGATTAAGTTGATATATGTAAGTCGCTTAAATTGCCAGGCGCCTATTAAGCAATTTTGAAAAAAACGAGCTATTACCAAATTTGGTAAGTGGGTTTTTGGTTTTTTCTTCTTTTTTCTCTTTCTCTTTCTATCTCTCTCTCTCTCTTTTAATGACCAAAACAAAACAAAAACCCAGATAGTTGTCAATCCACGTGCCCGGTTGCTTTTCAGTAACCACAGGGATCAGTTTCTCTAATGGAACAAGAAGAAAGAATTTCCATGTAGAAAACTAGGTGGGGCTCAAGTTTAAGGTTATACAGCATTTTGCGGTCAGATACACACCCAAAAACTATCATTTTCGCACTAAATTCCTCCAGTGTATTCCAAGTAATGAAAGAAAACACTAATCTCAAAGTCCTCCGATTTCAAAGAGAAACACTTTTCATTCTTTTAGTGAAAGCAAACAAGGTGTAACAGTGTGCTAAGCAACCAGGAATGCAGCAAGCCGGCTCCCCACAGAGAGCCTCACGCGCAGGCGCGGCTGGTTCTCCACCGCTCTCCGGCTCGCGCGTGACAGCCGTGCGGTCTACCCGAGTTCCAACGTGGTCTCACTGCGCACGCGCAACCACATTGCGCGCGCCCGCTCCCCCCACCCCGAACGTGCGCGTGCGCGCGGCTCACCTTTCGGCCGAGGGCGCGCGCCCTGGAAAATTCCACTTCCGAGCTCGCTCCACCCTATGCGCCTTTTCTCCTGCTCAGTGCACTGCGGCTCAACAGGCATCCCAGCGGCCTTTGCGCGGACAAAATGGCAGCCCCCATACCGCGGGGCTTGTCCTACTTATCCTGGGCTTTGGGACGGTGGTCTCGGCAGGTGGGTAGGGACGAGGCGAATGAAATTTTAGAAACAGAAGGAGAAGGACAAAGTAGAAGGAAATAATCGGACAGTGGCCGTTGATGAGTTTGGATGATACGTGTCTGACTCCGTCTGGGGAAGAATTGGAGGTGTATGTGATCCCTTTCTCTGAGTGAAGACAACCTGGGCGGGGCCTTAAGCTTCTCCGCATTAGTCCCAGTCTCTTTGGCGAGATGTTAAAAGGAACGAAGTAGTGGCTTGGAAGGTGGTCCGGCTTCTTTTACATTATTAAAAAAAAAAAAACTGCCAAGGATAGAGGTACAAGGTCGGTTTTGTCTTAGCCTGGAGCAAAACTCATGATCAGAGAAAAGGCCACCTGGCTTCTCAAATTTTATTGTCCAGTTTGGAGCTAAAAGGACAGAATTAGGTCAATTCGACCCTGCCCGGGTAGAAAAGGAAAAATAGAAGTGTGGAGAAAATACCCACGAGATCTTGCTTTTCAGTATTGGTTTGATCCTAAGGTCACTATCAAGCTAAATAAAAGGTCTTTGAGGGTGGGACTTCCGCTTTGCTCATTTCCGCATACAGCCCCACTGCAGGATGTGTCAAAGGAAAGCTTTTAGTAAGTGTTGACTGATGTTAATAAAGGTTATTAATTGGCTGGTGGTAAGAGCCATCTCTAGGTGATCGAGTAGTAATGTAGTTTCGCCATAAGTTGTTTCTTAACTTCTGAAGCATTCTTTGGATATGTCCGTTCTGTAAGACTTTGCCTACAGTTGCTCAAGATAGGTATTGCTTTCCAAATCACTTCTTTGCTAACCTTTCCTTTACCTCCCAGCCCATTCTGGTGACTCAATCCCCAGCTGTAGTTCCAGTAAAAACCAAAAGCCGGTTCAGACCCCCTCTTCGTGAACCCAAGTACAAAACAGAGAAGGAGTTTTTGGAACATGCCAGGAAAGCAGGATTGGTTATTCCTCCGGAAAAGATGGAGCGTCCTATACATCTGGCCTGTACAGGTGAGGAATAGTATTTCTGGGCTCCTGACTCAATCCTCTACGGTCAGATGTCTGGTGCTTAGAATGCCTTTGACTCTGATTGACAGCATTAAAGTCCCCCCCCCCCTTGAGACAGGCTGTCTTCAAACTCAGAGATCCATCTGCCCCTGCCTCCAAAGTGTTGGGATTAAAGGCATTTGCCACCCACTACCTCTGATGACATCATTAAATTAACCACTAGGTTCAACCTCTGTAATGATTAACTTTATATATACTATAGTTCATAAAGTCAGTTTTATTTTGTTTTTACAATACTTGGGATTAAATATAGGGCCTCGTACATGCTAAAAAAATACTGTAGCACTGAGTTATATCCCTAGCCTCTCTTTCTTTTTCCCTTTGAGACAGAATCTTTCTAAGTTTGTCAGAGTGAACTAGAGTTTGTGATCCTCCTGCCTGAGTAGTAAGGGCAACTTAGGGCTACAGCACTAGTCCTGTGTATGTGGTCCTCCTTTGATCTTGCTCTCACACAACTTCTAGAAAGAGTGTAAGTTCTTAGCCGGGCGATGGTGGCGCACGCCTTTAATCCCAGCACTCGGGAGGCAGAGGCAGGCGGATCTTTGTGAGTTTGAGACCAGCCTGGTCTACAGAGCTAGTTCCAGGACAGGCTCCAAAGCCACAGAGAAACCCTGTCTCGAAAAACCAAAAAAAAAAAAAAGAGTGTAAGTTCCTTTTTTGTCAAAGTAGAGACACTCTAGAAGGAGTTCATTATTCTTTTTTTCTAGAGATGTCCCAGTAGTGCAAACAGTTCCTGGTACTTACACAAGTATGGCAAGGTTGCCTCTATGTGCAAGTCTGATTAGGCTGCTTAATATCCTGTGTCCTGGGGGCTGGAGAGATGGCTCAGTGGTTAAGAGCACTGGCTGCTCTTCCGGAGGACCTGGGTTCAATTCCCAGCACCCACATGGCAGCTCACAACTGCCTGTAGCTTTATACCAATGCACATAAAATATGGTTAAAATAAATTATTAGAAAAATATATCCTGCTGGGCGGTGGTGGCGCACGCCTTTAATCCCAGCACTCGGGAGGCAGAGGCAGGCGGATCTCTGGGAGTTCGAGGCCAGCCTGGTCTACAAGAGCTAGTTCCGGGACAGGCAAATATATCCTGTGTCCTTCCCAGTGTTAGCTACCCTCAAGGTGATGTTTTCTCAATCTTCCAACAGATTTTTAATTCCCTTCTCTCCTTTCAGCTGGTATATTTGATCCCTATGTTCCACCTGAAGGTGATGCTCGGATGTCATCCCTTTCAAAGGACGGACTGACACAGAGAACAGAGCGATTAAAAAAGAATGTGGCATCACAGCTGGCGTAGGTGTCGGAGACAACTGGGGTTCAATATTCTAGGCTGAGAAGAACATGTGATATTTTATACTTATTGTGTTATGTAGTATATTACATTGATTTCCTTCTCTTTTTCTTTTTATGTGTTTTGCCTTCATGTAAGTGTACCAGAGAAACCCTGTCTTGAAAAAAACAAACAAGCTGGACCATGCTTTTATCTCAGCACCCTGGAAGCAGAGGCAGGCAGGCAGATCTCTTTGAATTCGAGGCTAGCCTGGTCTATAGAGGGAGTTCTAGGACAGCCATGTCTACACAAAGAAACCCTGTCTTTAGATAAGGAAGGAAGGAAGGAAGGATCCTGCTACTCCCCACTTCTATTTTTTGTTTGCTTTTTTTTTTTTTTTTTAAGACAGGGTTTCTCTGTGTAGCTCTGACTGTCTGAGAGCTTACTCTGTAGACCAGCTTGGCCTCGAACTCAGAGATCCAGCTGGCTCTGTCTTCTGAATTCTGGGATTAAAGTCATGAGCCACCAGGACCGGCTTCTTGTTCAGTTTTCAGTGTTGCTATTTAGAAGCTCTTTGCTCTGATACTTACCTGTTTGGTCCTTTCTTTGGTGCTGCAGAGCTGGAGACTGAATGAGGACCTTATAGATATGCATTACCTCTAACGAAGCTCCAGCCCCCAGTATTTGTAAGATGTAGATGTTTTCTTTAATCCCAGAATTCTAAAATTTCACTTTGAAAAAAATTTTTCCTTGAGGTTTACTTTAAGTTATGTATATGTGGGGGCTGGAGAGATGGCTCAGAGGTTAAGAGCACCGACTGCTCTTCCAGAGGTCCTGAGTTCAATTCCCAGCAACCACGTGGTGGCTCACAACCATCTGTAATGAGATCTGGTGCCCTCTTCTGGCGTGCGGGCATACATGGAGGCTGAACACTGTGTACATAATAAATAAATCTTTAAAAAAAAAAAAAGTTATGTATATGTGTTTGTAAGTGAGTGTGTGCACCTGAGTGCTGGTACAGTGTTCGGTCCCCCTGGGGCTGGAGTTCAAGGCACTTTGAGCTGCAGAAGGATCTGGGACCCAAGCCTCTGCAAATCAGTGTGCTCCCTTAGCCTCCGAACTACTCCAGACCTAAGAAAACAAACCTATGTTTTGTTTGTTTGAAGACAGGATCTTACTATATAGCTCTGGCTGTCTTGGAACTCCTGTATAGACCAGGCTGAACTCACACTCACTGAGATCCACCTGCCTCTGCCTCCTGTCTTAACTACCAAACCCTAGCCTGCTTGTTCTTTGTTTATAATGTTTACATTGAGAGAGATTGGATTTACAGCCTTGACACAGTCAAGAAATAATTATTAACTGGGTAGATGGGCATGGAGATTCATGTGAACTAAAAGTTCTAGAAAACATAAAGATTTCATAGTTTTATGACAGTTTATTTATTTGTTCGTCTGTGCACATGCACAGGCTGACTCTTTCCACAGCACAAGTATGGTTGTCAGGGCCGCCTGGGGAGTCCCTGAGATTGAACTCAGGTTGTTAGTATTGGTGGTATGTGCCTTTGCCTTCTGTGATGACGTCTTTATGATGGTATTATCTTAATTTTACAGAATTCGAAAGATAAAAGAATTTGATGCTAATTTTAAAACGAAAGACTTCCCTGAAAAAGCTAAGGATATTTTCATTGAAGCTCACCTTTGTCTAAACAAGTAAGTGAACTCCTGTCTTGTGTATGTTCAGTCTCCACAGCTACTGTTAAGTAGTAACTGAAGCCATTTGTTTGTTGTTGTTTGAGACAAGGTCTCTCTTTGTAGTTTTGGCTGTTCTAGAATTCTCTATTAGACCAGGCTGACTTCCTCTGCCTCCCAAGTGCTAAGACTAAAGGTGTGTGCCTCCACAAGGTGTAAATGGAGGCAGAGTTTTTCTGTCCCATCTACCCAGTCCCAAATAAAAATAGAAAAGCTTTTACTAATTGCAAAATGCTTGGCCAGTAGCTCAGGCTTATTATTGATAGTTCTTACTTACTTTTAAATTAACCCATTTCTATTAATCTTTGTATTGTCATGTGGCTCATGGATTTCTCCTGTTCTCTAGCCTCTTGCCTCTTGGGCGGCTTGCTGGCATCTCTCCTGACTCCACCTTTCTTTTTTTTGGTTTTTCAAGACAGGGTTTCTCTGTGGCTTTGGAGCCTGTCCTGGAACTAGCTCTTGTAGACCAGGCTGGTCTCGAACTCACAGAGATCCACCTGCCTCTGCCTCCCAAGTGCTGGGATTAAAGGCGTGCGCCACCACCGCCCGGCTGACTCCACCTTTCTTTATCTGAGTCCTTAGTTTGATTGTCCCACCTAACTTTATCCTGCCTTGCTATAGGCCAGACAGCTTTATTACTAACCAGTGAGAGTAATACAGATTCCCAGTGTGCAGAAGGATCATCCCACAGCAACAAGGGGCTTGTCTTTAATTTTAGGAGGATCTCACTATGTATCCCAACCTGTCCTTGAACTCATTGTATATTCAAGGTTGACTTTGAACGTTTTTTATTATTATTAAAATTGTTTTGTTTCATTTTGTTTTTTGAGGCAGGGTTTCTCTGTTTTACCCTAGTTGCCCTGGAACTCGCTCTGTAGACCAGGCTGGTCTTGAACTGACAGCGATCCACCTGCCTCTGCCTCCCAAGTGCTTAGGTTAAAGGCATACACCACCAGCTCCCAATTTATTATTATTATTTTATTTATTTATTTATTTATTATGTATACAATATTCTGTCTGTGTGTATGTCTGCAGGCCAGAAGAGGGCACCAGACCTCATTACAGATGGTTGTGAGCCACCATGTGGTTGCCGGGAATTGAACTCAGGACCTTTGGAAGAGCAGGCAATGCTCTTAACCACTGAGCCATCTCTCCAGCCCCCCAATTTATTATTTTTATTTTGTGTATGTGAGTGTTTTGCCTGTGTGCATGTCTGTGCGCCGTCTGACTGCCTAGTGGCCTTGGAGGCCAGAAGAGGAGGAGTTACTAGAGTTATAGACAGTTGTTAGCAGCCACGCGAGTGCTAGGAATAAAACCTGGGTTCTCTGCAAGGGCAAGAAGTGCTCCTAACTGTGGAGTCATCACTCCAGTCCCAGGCCTCGAATTTCTCATCCTCCTACCTATCTGAGAGTGGGATAATGAGCATATGTTATCACACCTGGTATGAGTGGGCTTTTACAAAAAAAAATGGATTTTTTTTTTTTTTTTAATGAACAGGGTTTCTCAGTAGCTGTGGAGCCTGTCTTAGAACTCACTTCTGTAGACCAGCCTGGCCTCAAACTCACAGAGATTTGTCTGCCTCTGCCTCCTGAGTGCTGGGATTAGAGGTGTGCGCCACCACTGCCTGGCTCAAAAATGATTTTTTTTTTAAATATTTATTTATTTATTTATTTATTCATTTTGTATACAATATTCTGTCTGTGTGTATGTCTGCCGGCCAGAAGAGGGCACCAGACCTCATTACAGATGGTTGTGAGCCACCATGTGGTTGCTGGGAATTGAACTCAGGACCTTTGGAAGAGCAGGCAATGCTCTTAACCGCTGAGCCATCTCTCCAGCCCCCCTCAAAAATGATTTTTTAATGATTTAGTCTGTCTCAGTTCTAGCTATAGCTGTTAGTGCTCTCCTGGAATGGCTTCTGTTTTTGACCTACCTGATCCCATAATCCATCCTGGTCTTCTGTGCGTTTATTTTATCATGAACATTTCTGTTTTTCTAGAAAACTTTTTCTTCCTTTTTTTTTTGTTTTCGAGACAGGGTTTCTCTGTGTAACAATCCTAGCTGTCCTGGAACTCACCCTGTAGACCAGGCAGGCCTCAAACTCACAGAGATCCACTTGCTTCTACCTCCTGAGTGCTGGGATTAAAGGCATGTGTGTCACCACCATCTGGCTTTTTTTTCCCCTCTTTTTTTCTACCAAGCTATTGTGTGTGCTGTTTCTCCTTTTATTGATTTTGTGTGTGTGTGTGCGTGAGTACATACATGAGTGTGTTTGCATGCAGCATATGTGTGGAAATTAGAGAACAGCTTGTGGAAGACGGTTTTCTCCTCCCACTATGTGCCCTGGGGATTAAACCCAGGCCTCAGTCTTGACAGCAAGTTCTGTTATCTTCAGAGCCATCTCACTGACTCCCTACCCGTTCCCCCTGTCCACTCCCATCTGTCCCCCTCCCATGCCCCCAGACAGGGTTTCTCTTTTACTTTCTGGAACCTATCCTGGAACTTGCTCTGTAGACCAAGCTGGCCTTGAGCACACAGAGATCTGCCTGCCTCTGCCTCCCACGTGCTTGGGTTAAAGGCTGCTCCACCACCCTGTGCTGGCCCTGTGCTATTTACAGTTATTTTTCCTGTTTCTTTTTCTCCTTTCATTTGTTGATTGGTAGGATTTCTTTCTTTTTAAAAAAAAAAGTTTTGGGGCTGGAGAGATGTCTCAGCAGTTAAGAGTACTTCCAGAGGTTAAGACCTTTTTCCGATGTCCTGAGTTCAATTCCCAGCAACCACATGGTGGCTCACAACCATAAGATCTTGTGCCCTCTTTTGACCTGCAAGAACACATGCAGGCAGAACCTTGTATACATAATAAATAAATCTTTAAAAAAATAAAAAATAAAAAAAGCTTTTGTTAGCCGGGTGGTGGTACATGCCTTTAATCCCAGCACTTTGTGAGTTCAAGACCAGCCTGGTCTACAGAGCTAGTTCTAGGACTGGCCCCACAGCTACTAAGAAACACTGTCTCGAAAAACCAAAAAAAATGCTTTAAGGATTTCACACAATTGTGTTCACATTTACCCCTAACTTGTCCTCCTAACTCTTACCAGATCCACCTCCTATCCCTTTGCTCCCCCTTTTTTAATAACCCAAGTTCAGTTTGTGTTACCCATACATATACCTGAGTATCAGGCCATCCACTGCAGTGTAGGTGACCTACCCAGAAAACTCACATTCTCTCCCCAGAATCTACTAACTCTCCTTTGCTTTTCAGTTAGGGGTAGAGCTTCAGAGCCCCTTCTCCTCCATGTTAGAATGCTGACAGGCTTGATTTTGTGCAGGCGGCCATGAATGCGGTGGTCCTGGCATGTCCGGAAGACGCTGTCATGGTCCTCCCTCTTCTGGCTCTCACAGCTTTCGGCCGTCTCATGTGTGGTAGTAGTCCCTGAGCCGAGGAAGGAGGGTGTTTTCTTTCTTTACTTTTTCAGTTTTCTTTTTTATTTCACACTAAGATCTGGGCTAGAAGAAACACTTTATCTGTGCCCTGGTGGGCTAGCTTTCTATCCCTTCTCAGAGACGCAGGACTCTCCATCTGTGCCCTGGTGGGCTAGCCTTCTATCCCTTCTCAGAGACGCAGGACTTTTTGGAGAGATATGACATCAAAGTCCAAACTTCCTGCACTTGAAGAGTCCGAGGGTGCAGGGGCAGGAGAGACACAGGCCGCCTTCTCCTAGTTCAGAGACGAGAGTGCGCAATAGAGGCCGGCTGTTGGCACTGAGTGACTCATGTGCCTCAGAGGAGATAAGGGACTTTTTATTCCTGCATGGCATCGGACTTTGTTCCCAATGCCAGCGTTGAACAAGGGTCAGTGGCACATCTTAGTGAATATCCTTGCCCACCTCAAAAATCTGATTTCAGAGGAACTTCTCTCTGCTCCAGAAATAAACTGTTCAATGCTCTTAAACATCAAGGTTTTGTGTAGATCACAAATTAATATATCATGTGGCCCACAGTGCATATGAAGAAAATGTTTGTATAAATGAATTTTTTTCCACATTTTCAGGACCATTTTCAACTTTAAAAAAGAAAAACTTAGCCGGGCGGTGGTGGCGCACGCCTTTAATCCCAGCACTTGGGAGGCAGAGGCAGGCGGATCTCTGTGAGTTCGAGACCAGCCTGGTCTACAAGAGCTAGTTCCAGGACAGGCTCCAAAACCACAGAGAAACCCTGACTCGAAAAAACCAAAAAAAAAAAAAAAAAAAAGAAAAAAAAGAAAAACTTTTTTGCTGAATGGGGGTAGTGTACACCTTTAATCCCAGCACTTAGGAGGCAGAGGCAGATGAGTTTCAGTACAGCTTGGTCTACAGAGTAAGTTTCAGGATAGCCAGAATTACACAAAGAAACCCTGTCTTGGGCGGGGCGGGGGTTAAAAAAAAAAAAACTCTTTTCTATACACTTTGTTTTGTGTATATGTAAATGGGAACACACATACCATGATTCATGTGTGGAGTCAGTACTTCTCATGTGGATTCTGGGGATTGAACTCAGCTTCTCAGGCAGTCTTTGTGGCAAGCCCTTACCCACTGAGCCATCTTACCAGCCCATTATCAGGTTTCATAGAGGGTACCATAAAAGTTGGAGTCAATAATAAATATATGTTTTTCTTTTCCAGCTCAGACCATGACCGGCTTCATGCCTTGGTAACTGAACACTGTTTTCCGGTAGGTTCATTTATTTATTTTTATGTGCGAGTGTGCCTCATCTATCCCAGCCCTGATAGCTCTGGAAAACACTCCTTTCATTGCTGAAATGTGCAGGGGTAAAATGAAAATAAAAGAGAGAAAAACATGCACTATCAATAGAAGTACACATAGTAATTAGCAGTGTGTGAGAGGAAGTGATGTGTGCAGTAGTTTGGTGTGTGCAGTGGTGTTGTGTGTGCAGTGGTGTTACGTGCGGTGGTGGTGTGTGCAGTGGCAGTGTGTGGAGTGGTGTGTGCAGTGGCGGTGTGTGGAGTGGTGTGTGCGACGGCAGTGTGTGGAGTGGTGTGTGCAGTGGCGGTGTGTGGAGTGGTGTGTGCGACGGCAGTGTGTGGAGTGGTGTGTGCAGTGGCAGTGTGTGGAGTGGTGTGTGCGACGGCAGTGTGTGGAGTGGTGTGTGCAGTGGCGGTGTGTGGAGTGGTGTGTGCGACGGCAGTGTGTGGAGTGGTGTGTGGAGTGGTGTGTGCAGTGGCAGTGTGTGGAGTGGTGTGTGCAGTGGCAGTGTGTGGAGTGGTGTGTGCAGTGGCGGTGTGTGGAGTGGTGTGTGCAGTGGCGGTGTGTGCAGTGGCGGTGTGTGGAGTGGTGTGTGCAGTGGCAGTGTGTGGAGTGGTGTGTGCAGTGGTGTGGTGTGTGCAGTGGTGTTACGTGCGGTGGTGGTGTGTGCAGTGGCAGTGTGTGGAGTGGTGTGTGGAGTGGTGTGTGCGACGGCAGTGTGTGGAGTGGTGTGTGCAGTGGCGGTGTGTGGAGTGGTGTGTGCAGTGGCGGTGTGTGGAGTGGTGTGTGGAGTGGCGGTGTGTGGAGTGGTGTGTGCGACGGCAGTGTGTGGAGTGGTGTGTGCGACGGCAGTGTGTGGAGTGGTGTGTGCAGTGGCAGTGTGTGGAGTGGTGTGTGCAGTGGCAGTGTGTGGAGTGGTGTGTGCAGTGGCAGTGTGTGGAGTGGTGTGTGCAGTGGCGGTGTGTGGAGTGGTGTGTGCGACGGCAGTGTGTGGAGTGGTGTGTGCAGTGGCGGTGTGTGGAGTGGTGTGTGCGACGGCAGTGTGTGGAGTGGTGTGTGCAGTGGCGGTGTGTGGAGTGGTGTGTGCAGTGGCGGTGTGTGGAGTGGTGTGTGCGACGGCAGTGTGTGGAGTGGTGTGTGGAGTGGTGTGTGCAGTGGCAGTGTGTGGAGTGGTGTGTGCGACGGCAGTGTGTGGAGTGGTGTTTGCAGTGGCAGTGTGTGTGGTAGCAGTGTGTGCAGTGGTGTGTGCAGTGGCGGTACATGCACTGGTATAGTATGCAGCGTGAGTTTTTAGTGATTTGGAGAAGAGACCTCTTAGAGGTGGATGGGTCTTTTTTTTTTTTCTTAATGTGATTGGTGTTGTGTCATGGGTGTTGGGTCTCTTGGAACTGGGGTTACAGACAGTTGTGAGCTACCATGTGGTTTCTGGGAATTGAACCCAACTCCTCTATAAGAGCAGTCAGTGCTCTTAATCACTGAGCCATCTCTTCAGCCCTGGTGGATTGAGTAGTTTAATAAAATGTTGTTGGGAGGCAAGTATGACCAAAACTTGACCAAACTTAGGAAATGCTGGGCAGTGGTGGTGCACACCTTGAGAAGCAGAGGCACGTTCATCTGCTGATCACCTGTCTCTACCTTCTGAGTGCTGGGATTAAAGACATGTGTTGTCACCACCCAGCTATAATTCTAGCACTTGAAAGATTGAATTAGCATTCCTGCCAGGGTTACAGAGTGTGTCCCTGTCTCAACCCCCATTCCCACCCCTAAAATGGGGTTGAAGCATGGACTGCGGTGCCTGTTGACTGCAGGGTTGCATTTGTAGTCTCAGCAGCAGCACCTTGCAGAAGGGAAATCTCATGAACTTTTCTCTTCTTCCCTCAGGACATGGTCTGGGACCTCAAGTACAAGACTGTCCGCTGGAGCTTTGTGGAATCTTTAGAGCCAGCCCAAGTGGTTCATGTTCGCTCTTCAGGCATGGTGAACCAGAGCAACATGTATGGCCAGGTCACTGTCCGCCTGCACACTCGGCAGGTAGAGTGGGTGTTTTATTCACTCTGTATTAAGTACATTAATAATAACCTCAGAGCACCAACATGCAGCAGTGTTGCTTTAAGGAATGAATATCAGACTTCCTCTTGGAATGGTTTGACCAGGAGTGAGCCCAAGTTTGAATTCTCCACTCCTCTACCTCCTGTGTGTATTCTGTGGTTCCTGGTCTACCCAGAATGTGTCTGTGCCTGCCTGGATGCCATCTGATATCCAGCTGCCACTGTGTCCCTAACAAAGGACTTTCCTCTGTCTTTATTGAATAGCACAGAAAACAGGGTATGGAAAAGGGATGATGGAGCCTGGACAGAAATCTTTAGCAGAGTTTTTTTTTTTTTTTTTTTTTTTTTGGTTTTTTGAGACAGGGTTTCTCTGTGGCTGTGGAGCCTGTCCTGGAACTAGCTCTGTAGACCAGGCTGGTCTCGAACTCACAGAGATCCGCCTGCCTCTGCCTCCCGAGTGCTGGGATTAAAGGCGTGCGCCACCATCGCCCGGCTTTTAGCAGAGTTTTTTATAAGGGATCAAATTTTGCTGACCCTAAAGCACTCAAACAGCCCTGCAGAAATGTTATCAAGGGGATGTCGGCTGCTTGAGCCAGTTCTTACTGCAGCACACACATACACTACTCTGTTCAGCCAGTCCTTACTGCAGCACACACATACACTGCTCTGTTCAGCCAGTCCTTACTGCAGCACACACACATACACTGCTCTGCTGTGGGGGCACGGAGGAGTCCAGAACTGTGTCTCAGGCTAGGTTGGGAAAGCATGGGAAGGTCAAGACATTATATTGTTCTCTTAAAGGTGACTTAAACTCAGACAAGCTGATGACACCATGGGCCAGCAGGCTCAGTCTAAAGTGACCTCAAGGGTTTTAACTGGGCCAGGGGTCCAACAAAAACATTCAGTCTCTTTGAATGAAAGAGTTATTTTTATTAAATTTCATCACTGCAACTCTCATGTAGGGCATCTGTCTCTGGACTGTTGAATTCAGGGCTGTTAGTGTTTCGTGGTTCTGGGGGTTGAACCCAGAGCCTCATGAGTACTAACTAGGAATATGCTCCCACCACCGTGTTCCACCCCTTGGCCCAGGACTGTAGGTTCTCAGGAAAAGTTTGCTGGCCTCTCGCCACTACTAAGTGGTATCTACACTCAGGTGTGGTGTGAGACTGCTGTTGGTTTTCCACCTTCCCCATCTATCAAAGAAGTCTGAACAGTAGTATATCAACAATGATTAGTTCCAAGTTCAGAATTCTGAAATAATTTTAATTTTCATTAATTTAAAATTTTTTTTTGTTAGGATTGTTTCAAAAATGGTTGTATGACAAAAATAGAACAAAATCCTGACAGGCCAGAATTTATTTCATCATTACAGACTTTGGCCATCTATGATCGGTTTGGCCGGTTGATGTATGGGCAGGAAGATGTGCCCAAGGATGTCCTGGAGTATGTGGTATTTGAAAGACACTTGATGAACCCGTATGGGAGCTGGAGAATGCATGCCAAGATTGTGCCCCCATGGGCACCCCCTAAGCAGCCCATCCTCAAGGTAAGGCTGCTTGCATGCTTTGAGACTTGAGGCTGTATGTTGTCTTGACTGCCTAAAACTCTCCTCATGGGCTCCACCTAGTGGAGAGAAAGAAAGAAGCAGCACTAGGGAAGGGGAACTTTTCCTGGCTGCTAGGGAGTGAAGTGATTCTGGGTAAACAGCAGACTTGATCAGTAGGTAACTCAGCCTCTTATTCTTTTCAGACATTGATGATTCCCAGTTCTCAGCTGAACCCATGGGAGGCGAATGAAGAGACACAAGGAGAGGCCCATAAGCCTCAGCTTGCCTAATGGCATAAATGACTCCTGAGGAGCCTGGCAGTGGTGGCACACGCCTTTAATCCCAACACTCAGTTGGCAGACACAGGCAATCTCTGTGAGTTTGCGTCCAGCCTGGCCTACAGAGTTCCCGGATAGCCAAGGCTACCCAAAGAAACCCTGTCTCAAAAAACAGCAACAAACAAACAACGAAAAGACTCCTGAGGGCTGACCGGATGATGGGGCTGCAAAACCACCTCCATCCTGTAGGCCTCCCTTGCTCTCTCCTGCCCTGCCTGGGTCTTTTCAGAAGACCCTCCCCCTTTGCAGTTGCGGCTGATATCCAGCCAGGTAGACGGCTGGGATCCAGACGTGGAGCATCTTCCTTTTAAAGTCATGTTTACCTCCTGAGGTGACGTGAAAAGCGGCGTGTGTGAGAACATACGTGACACGGGCTTCTCACGGCAGGAACTGCGAGTAGGCCAACAGCGTGTATTTTTCTATACACAGCAGAGACCAACATTTGAAATAAAATACTATGAAAGTGTTGAACAAATTGTGGTTTTGTACTTTTGCCCTGGTTCAGACTGGGAATAGAGCGGTTCCATAATGTCAGAAGTGGAACCCAGAGTTATGAGTGATGTAACACTTCCGGGGGCTCGCGACCAGAAAGAGTACTTTGTGTTTATAAACCAGGGTATCTCTCTGTAATCCCATTGCTGGGGAAGTGGAGGCAAGAGGAGGACAGTAGCTCAATGTCATCCCTGGCTATGCAACCGTTTAGAGTCAACCTGGGCTACCTGAGATCGTGTCTCAAGAACAATGACAAAAAATAGGGTGTTACTTAATTTTACATGTATGAGTGTGCTGTCTGCATGTATGTTGTACACTTACATGCCTGATGCCCCTGGAGGTCAGAAGGAGTTGGATTCCCCAGAACATGAGTTATGGATGGTGGTAAACCACCACGTAGATGCTAGGAATTGGATCTAAGTCTTCACTTACTGAAGCAGGTGTATTAAACAAATTTTTCTACACACAGGAAAAATGAGAGCCTAAGTTCTCAGACTTGATCTTTCTCAAGACTGAGATTTTCTTTGTCCCTTAAAGTCAAAAGTAATCTGTTCTGACCATGTCTAGAATAGGGTGAAAAGAAACTGGAATTGAGTCAGCAATTAGTGACCTAGCTCTGGTCTCTCTAAGCCTGCCCTTTGAGCAAAGCTGCCAACAGAACAGGCCTTATGGGGGGAGACTCATGTTACTATTTATTTGTTGGTTATTTATTCATTATGTGTGAGAGAGTGTTTGAGTGGGAATGGTGTCGATGGTACAGCTTTCAGATAGAGGCCAGAGGATAACTTTTGTCTTCTAATGTGGATTCTAGAAATTGAACTTGGGTCAAGCTCTCATGACAAATGCTTTTACCCACGAGCCACCTCACTGACCCAAAACGACTGCTGTTTTTCTAACGGCCCGTGAGTGTGGACTGTGGACACAGACCTGTGTCTATGCTTCAGGAAAAGAGCACTGGCGGCCAATCTCACGCTGTTTGCTGTTAGCCCTCTGGGCTTAAAATGTACATCAGTTTGCAGCATCGCTGTCCAGGTGGGGGTTGGGCACATCCTGTTTGCCTGAGCCCTGGATTAAGGCAAAATAAGAAGTGCTTGAGCCAGATCCCTAACCGAAGAGTGTGAAGGAAGGGAGATAATCCCAGCAGGGAAGAGAAGTGGAGAAACAAAAAAGCACACTTAGTGGGCAAATGTTACATTGATGTCTCTTGAATTTACGAAAAACAGTGATTCAGATAAGCTATTTCATCCCATTGCCATGGATCTGACTCAGGGTCTCTAGATAATCTTAAATTGCAGCTAAGCAATAGCTGCCACCAGGAGGCTAGGGGATAAGTGCAATTTTCATATCCTCTGGGATCCAATCCAGCTGAGCAAATGGCCCCAGATGTGCAGGGTTGGCTAGGAGAGCCAGGCAGAGAGCATCTGTTAGCTGTGATTCTGGGCACTGGGAGAGGATAAGCCGGACCACCCAAAGCCCTACCCGGCACAGTTGGAGCAGGCCCTGTTCTCTCATCTGCTGCCTCTGTTAACAAAGAAAACCACCATTATAAATAAACGGGTACCGAGTACGGTAGCTGGAAACAAGCAGTCTTTATTATTTTCCCGGGAGGCTATTATAACAGCGAATGCAGAGATAGACCATATTCCAGCTAGACCAGACCCAGTGAGATTGCCCTGGGGTGCACAGTTAGTGAAGTCTACCTTAGCTCAGAAGTTGTGGGGTTAAGTAGCCACAACCCAAAACAACAAACTACTGCTATAGAAATCCAGCACAGGAGGTCTGGGTGGCTAGGAGGGCTCCGTGTGGGAATGAGGACAGCTGGCCCCCCAAGTCTGAGAGTAGGTGACTGGTCCTCTGCTCCCTTTTGGAAAGGAAGTACTCAGCCGCTTCTTCTGTGCGACACTTGTGCATAGACTCCTGGTTTGCTCCCTGGGCATTTGATCTCACTTGGGGTTTCCCACCCCTTGAGCAGCGTCTCTATCTGTGTTGTCTTTAGTGTAGCCAGCTCTGCTGCATTACTCTGCCTGGCTGCACCCCGTCTCCCTCTCTTTACACGTCTTTCTCCTTCCTAGTTTCCCTCTGGTGATATCATGTAGCTGCAACCCTCTGTTATCTCACGCTGCTCAAGCAGGGTAGCCTGAGTGACGCTTGAGAAGAGAGCCAAGGCGGAGTGGACCCGTGAGAAGGAGCTTTTGTTCACCTGGTGCCTTGCCCAGCCCCCGGGCTTCTCACTCGTCCAGGAGCGCTGCTCCTTCTGAAGGTAGCAGTTGGAATTCTGACTGTGAACAGGACCTCCTTTCTTTCCCAGGCTCCTCTGGGAAGGAGCACAAGTGAGCCAGAGTGGTTCACTTGAGAACCAGAGATCCCCCACTTGTAGTAAATGCCCCCCTTGCATTCACTACAGAGGGGCCCTGTTGCTGACTAGAGAAAGACTAGAGGAGAAGGAGGCAGTGTGGTGAGCTGTGCAGAGGCTAAGAGAGAGCAGGGCAGGAAGACGGCTGAAAAAGCCAGCAGGAGGCTTACTGAGGATACCTGGAGGGGAGAACGCCTTGTCCAGTGTGGGGAGGACCCCGAGAAAGTGTCTCTGTCCTGTGTTGTCACTGTGGACACCAGCTGTGACACAGATGTCAGCGCGTCTGATTGTTGTTACTTCAGCCGTCAGTCAGGGCACGTATGGGAGACAACAAAGTAGAACTAGGAGATTCGAGTCAAGACAAGGCCCTTGAGCTGGGGTGTGACTTATTAGTATGGTGCTTGCCTAATAGTCCTGAGGACCAGGGTTCACTTCCCAGCACCACACATTCCCACAGAAACACATAGGCTGGGCTGGGGATATAGTTCAGGTGACAGGGCTTGCCTTGCATACAGAAAGCTCTGGGTTCAATTGCCACCACTGAGTATGCTGGGCATAGAGATGCAGCCCTTTCATCCGGGAACTCAGGTAGTGTTGATACAGGAGGATCGGAAGATTAAGGTCAGCCTTAGACAAACCTGGGCTCCATGAAACCATGTGTCAGGGAAGATGGTCTAGGACTGTCAGGCACATATTTTGTCTTTGTTTTTCCTCTGATTTTGTGTGTGTGTGTGTGTGTGTGTGTGTGTGTGTGTGTGTGACAGGATTTCTCTGTAGCTTTGGATCCTATCCTGGAACTGGAACTAGCTCTTGTAGACCAGGCTGGCTTTGAACTTACAGAGATCTGCCTGCCTCTGCCTCCCAAGTGCTGGGATTAAAGGCATGCACCACCATTGCCCGGTTTATCTTTCATCTTTTAAATAATTTTTTTTAAAAATTTGTGTGTATGTTTATCTTTCTGTCTATTCTGTCTATGTGGGGATATGTGCACCTGAATGTAGGTGACCTCAGAGACCAGAAGAGGCAGCTGGAGGATTCCCCTAGAGCTGGAGTTACTGTGGTTGTAAGCCACTTAACTGGGTGTTGAGGACAAAACCTAGGTCCTATGCAAGAGTAGTGCATTCTCCTAACCACTGAGCCATATTCTAGCCCTGCCTTTCATCCTGAATTACGTGGCTATACAGCCTTCTCTCACCCACAGTTTCCCAATTGCCACTGCCTTGTGTGGCTTAGTTCTTTGCTGCTTTGGGTAAGCTTCATTTAAGTGAGAGTTCAGACTTGAATGGCTTGGGTCAGGTACACTGGACAAATAGCAGGGTTCTTTAGAAGGGGAGGGCCCGGCTTTTGTTTCCTCAAGCAGAAAGAGAATAGAGAGGATGGGCTGTCCCTTAGGGTTCAAACTGCACCCCTCTTTCTTTCTTTTTTTTTTTTATTTTTAAAGACTTTATTTATTAAGTATACAGTATTCTGCCAGAAGAGGGCACCAGATCCCATTATAGATGGTTGTGAACCACCATGTGGTTGCTTAACCTCTGAGCCATTTCTCCAGCCCCCAAACTGCACCCCTCTTGTACAGTTTTTGAATGAATTGCCTTCTGGCCTCTTGAGGAGAGGAGAAGCCAAGCGTCTGTAGTCTTTGAATCAGCTCTTTGGGAACTGGCACGTGGGACGTGTCCTGAAGGAGCTCTGACCTCTCTATGGCGGTGTCATTCACAGTCCCAAGGATAAGCAGATGGAGGGCTAAGTTCTCCATCATGAGTTTCAGAAGCCATTTGTCCTTGGTCTTCAGTTAAGGAGGAAGACTTTGGAGCCTCCGCTTCTTCGAGACTGGGCTCTGGAGCTGACTTGGCTCCAGGCTCAAGTCCCAAAGGTTCTTGTTCTCTGACACCTTCCAGAAGAAAAGCACTGGGTGACTTGCTCACTTCTGGACGGATGCTCTTGCTCACTGGAACAAAGCTCTCCAAAGGTCTGTGTACGGAGAGGCAGAGTGAGTTCTCAGAAGCAGCAGGGACATCTGTCTGGGTTGTCGGTAAAGCCAGGAGGCCAGATCCATCAGTTGGGGCTCTGGCTTCCTCCCATGGACAGATATCTGCCATGGTGCCCTTGATTTTATTTCCTTCTGGGTCTGTGACTTCCCATTGACATAGTTCTGCTGGCCTTTTCCCTGGGCTGCTTGATCCATGGGGGCTGACCTTACAGTGGTCTGTGTCCAGGGTGTCTGCTTCAGGGAAGAGCTCTGCTGACTCTGTGCCTTCCAAGGGGTAGACTGTCCCTTCTGCTTCTAAAAAGCGTCCTTCAGCCCCTCCAGCCCCCTGGTCCAGTGCCCCCTCCACCACCTCTCCTGAACTTGTTTCCCCAGGGCAGATCTCTGCTTTCTTAGCAGAGGGAACTTCTTCTACTTCCCAAGGACACACTTTTGCCACCCTGGACCCCACAGAGCCCACTTTCTCAGAACTGCCTTTGCTTCCGTCAGAAGCACCTGTGGCTGGTTGCACCCCAAAGTCCTGACTTTCCCCGGGACACATAGCTTCCTGCTTCCCAAGGCCGCTGATCTGTGGCATTTCCTGAACTGCTACCCCTTTGTGCTCTGGTTTTTCAGGGGCCCTTTCTTGTTCCTCTTGAGAGT